AAAAAAAGAAGACTAGGCGTGGTGGCTCATGCCTGTAATCCCAGCATTTTGGGAGGCCGAGGTGGGCAGATCACCCAAGGTCAGGAGTTCGAGACCAGCCTGACAAACATGGAGAAACCCCACCTCTACTAAAAATACAAAAAGGTAGCCGGGTGTGGTGGTGGGTGCCTGTAATCCCAGCAACTCAGGAGGCTGAGGAAGAAGAATCGCTTGAACCCGGGAGGCGGAGGTTGCAGTGAGCAGAGATTGAGCCATTGCACTCCAGCCTGGGCAACGAGAGTGAAACTCTGTCTCCAAAAAAAAAAAAAAAAAAAAGAAGAGCAAGCAGTCACACATCACACACAGATACAACACATACACATACAGGCACTAGGGATCGAGTATAGCAGACTTTCCAGAGATTACATCAGAATCCAAGACAGTGAAGACACACCTTCAAAATTCAAAGGGAGAAGGATTTCCAAGTTAGGACTCTATTTCCCTTGAATACTAACCAAACAGCACAATATAATAAAGATATTTTCAGATTCCACAAAATAAACCTCCCATGCACTCTCTTTCTCAGGGAGCTGCTAGAAGACGTGCTCCAACCAAGCAGAGAGAGCAAACCATGAACAAGGAGGAAACAGCCTCCATGGAACAGGTGACTCAGCACAGGAGAAGCAGCTTCCAGGCTGAGAGTGAATGAAGGAGCCTGGGCAACAGCTGAGCAGCGGAGGCCTGGAAAGCAAGGCACTCCTGACTGCAGCATAGGGAGAAGTCTCCAGGAGAAACGTCACGGGGAAAAAGGCAGAGCCCAGAGATTCCCGGCTTGACCTAGCTTTACTGAGAGCAGGGTTGGCTTTTTTTTTTTTTTTTTTTTTTTTTTTGTAAATTCAATTGAAGTATTTAGGAATGAATGAATGATAGGTATGTAGAAAACAGAGCAAACTAAAAGAAGACTAGTAGTAACTGGAGCAGAAAAAAAAAAGTTACACACAAAAAAGGAAATGGGTTGGGCACGGTGGCTCATGCCTATAATCCTGGCTCTTTGTGAGGCCGAGGTGAAAGGATTGTTTGAGCCTGGGGTTCAAGACCACCCTGGGCAACACAGTAAGACCCCTTCTCCAAAAAAATTTTTTTAAAAATTAGCAGGGCATGGTGGCACACTTTTAAAAAAATTAGCAGGGCATGGTGGCTACTTGGGAGGCTGAGGTGCGAGGGTCACTTGAGCCTGGGAGGTCGAGGCTGCCCTGAGCTGTGATCACTGTGCCACTGCACTCCTGCCTGTGCAACAGAGACCCCATCTTAAAAAAAAAGTCTGTGAACACTATTAAGCCCCAGTACTGAACAAGGTATACAAACATATAATAATACAAACACTGGGCCAGGCTCAGTGGCTCATGCCTGTAATTCCAGCATTTTGGGAGGCTGAGGCAGGAGGATCATGAGGTCAGGAGATCGAGACCATCCTGGCTATCACAGTGAAACCCTGTCTCCACCAAAAATACAAAAATTTAGCCAGGTGTGGTGGCATGCACCTGTAGTCCCGGCTACTCGGGAGGCTGAGGCCAGAGAATCACTTGAACCAGGAGGCGGAGGTTGCAGTGAGCTGAGATCACGCCCCTGCACGCCAGCCTGGGCAACAGGAGTGAAACCCTGTTTCAAAAAATAATAATACTAATAATGCAAACACTGAATGCAGAAAAAAGTGTGTGAAAAAATTCTGATAGTAACAATGAAAAAATGAGGGAAAGAACTGTGTGTGTGGTATGTGTGTGCCTGTGTGTGGGACCAGGGGACAGATACCTAAATCGAAATCTTCCATGCCAGATGCAGTGTCTCATGCCTGTATTCCCAGCACTTTGAGAGGCTGAGGTGGGAGGACTGCTTGAGGCCAGCAGTTTGAGACCAGCTTGGGCAACACAGCAAGATCCCATCTCTATAAAAAACTTAAACATGAGAAAATTAGCCAGGCATGGTGGCGTGGTTGAGCCCAGGAACTCAAGGCTGCAGTAGCTATGACTGAGCCACTGCACTGCAGCCTGGGCAACAGAACAAGACCTGTCTCTTAAACAAACAGAGCCCTTCCATAGTAGGAAGTCACCATGTAATGTTACATAAAACTGAAAAACCATACACACACAAAAAGTATAAGCATATTTTTCAGTCATTCTAGGAACAAAATAGCTGAAAGAATCAAAGCACGGTGAACTTCAGAGTGAGGAGTCGGCGTAGTTTCGTGTTTTAACCCTATGCCTAATTACTTTATTAAACGTAATAAGCAACATTTTGTTAAAAAAGCAAAAAAGCAAATGACTGCAGTGGCTAGCTCTGAGTGGGCCCTCAGGAGGGGCTGGCTGGATCTGCAGAGTTTTCCAGCCCAGGTGACTTCCGCTCCCCCTCCTGGGCACTGAGAAGGAAGGGTGGGAGGGGGAACACATGGGGGGACACTCTTTGAATTTTAAGGGACTGCCCCATCACTGGCTCTGCAGAGGCAGCTGCAAGAGAGGGGCTGAGACCCAGAGTAGTAGTGCAGGGACACGGCGAGGACCAGGCCCCGCTGCCTCTGCTGCTAAAAGCTGGTGAACTCAGGGGCAGCCTGAACTTCGCCACAGCTGCTGTGCTGTTTGTAAACTCCCTGGGAGAGGCCAGGTGAAGGGGTGATGGAGTTGCTAGGAGATGTGCTTCACAGGGTGGCCGACTTCCTGCAGGACCTCTCCCCGGGCTGGGAGGCAGGTCAGGACAGGCAGGGCCCCAACAAAGAGGCTTCTGGATCGGAGGGGGCCTGCCAGCCATCTGCTGCTGCCTCTGGGGCACAGAGTAAGGGTGAAGCAGAGGCTTCCCTGGCTGTGTGCCCCACCTTCTGCCATGAGCCTGTCTTTGAAGTCCTGCCGAGAAGAGAGCCCACACTTGTCCCCCGACTACACAGGAGGGGCCTGCCTTGGCAGGGAACAGCTTTGTGCTTCCGAAGGAACTGGTGGGCAGAGGCTGCCCCTGGGCAACCACGAAAGGCTGACTGCTGAATGGAAGAGGATTCTCAGCCCCACCCTTTGCCAATTCCAGCCTTTACTGTGCCCCAGGGACTCAGAGGTTTCCCTGAAGACTTGGCTGCTTCCAGAACATCAGATACAAAGCCCCAGTTAAGCACTGAGCAGGTCCCCATCTGGCCATAGTACTGACACTTGGAAGGACAGGACAGAACAGCAGCCTGCGAGAAGGAAGCATGGGAAGTTACCGAGGCCCCACACAGAGGAATGCAAGACACAGGGCAGGGGTTTAATCAAGTCCCTGATTCATCCGAAAGGGAGGGAGCAGGCATCTTCCATGAGCCAGCTCTGTCTGGCCGTGGGCTGCACCCCATCCTGCTCCAGCAGAGCTAAATGGGCTCAGGAAGATGGAACAAAAAGCGATGGAATGAAAAGCAAGGTAACATCAAACTATGGTGGGGCCAAGGACCTGGATGGGTGCTGGGAGTGAGAATGGCGGGGAAGAGACGGATGGAAAGGAGGGGCCCCACACAGAGCAGAAGAGCTTCCAAGACTGCGGACAAGTCAAGCCCTCGAGGCTGGGAACCACCTGCCTGATGTGGCCGCATTTTGGGGTGGGCAGGTGGAAATACAAAAGGCTGGGGTGAAGGGGCTTCCTGTTTGGTGCACTCATTTTCTTGCCAAACCTAAAGGCATTTCCTGTGCCCTGTGAGTTCTCAGGGATACACAAGTTTCAATGTAGGCAGGAAGAAAGACTCCAGCTGCCTAGGGGATGAGCCTGTTGCACCCCAATATCCACAGAGCGCAGGCCTGGAGCAGCACCCTCCCAGGTCATGGAAATAGATAACTTCTGGGCGTGGCCAGAGCTGCTCAGCCTGAGATGAGGAAAACCACATCTGGTCGCTTTATCTAAAACCAGCAGCGCAGGTGTGGGTAGGAAACAAGAAACCTCACGCTCTGAGAAGAGGGTGGGTATCAATGCAGGGGTCTTATTTTTGCTTTTTTTGAGACAGAGTTTGTTGTCCAGGCTGGAATGCAATGGAGCAATCTCAGCTCACCACGGCCTCTGCCTCCCAGGTTCAAGCAATTCTCCTGCCTCAGCTTCCCGAGTAGCTGGGATTAAAGGCATGCACCACCACAGCCGGCTGATTTTTGTATTTTCAGCAGAGACAGGGTTTCTCCACATTGGTCAGGTTGGTCTCAAACTCCTGACCTCAGGTGATCCACCAGCCTCAGACTGCTGAAGTGCTGGGATTACACGTTTGAGCCACTGAGCCCGGCCCAACATAGGGGTCTTAAATTCAGGCACTCCTCCTCTCCATTCCTGCTGGCCTGTCCAGGGCAGACCTGGGCATCGCCGGCCTCTGACGGAGGAGGAATGCCTGGGACCTGCCCAAGACAGGTCAGAGGCCAGCTCCCATGACAGCAGCATCCTGATCTCCTTGTGGTGACTGCTTGTGGCCACAGACACCCACAGGGCATCAGGGGTGAGGCTGGCTTCTCCTCTTGGCAACCCAGCTCCAGACGTGTGGTCGGAGCTCAGGACAGAAGCGGGTCAAGTTTCCACTCCACACCCAGAACCAAGTCCCCAAAAGGAATTGAGTCTCCTTCCTGGGTGGCACAGCAGGGAACCCACTCATGGAACAAAGCCCTCAGAATTAAAACCTATGGGGACAGAGGCCCAGCCCTGCCACTGACTTGCTGGGATCCCTGGACGGGTCCCTACCCAACTGTACCTGGGGTCTCTACAAACAGACCACTTGCTTGCTGTCCCCACCCCACCTGAAATGCTGGCATTGAGAAATGCGACCCAAGCAAGTGGAGGGCCCCTGCTTCCAGGTACCTGCGAGGTGAGACTGTGGCTGCATGTGCTGTTAGCTGTCAGTCTGGGACAGAAACACTACAGTGGGTAAAGAAGCGAGTGGTGTGTCAAGATAGTCCTTGTGAAGCCCCTCAGGGAGGAATGTGGGGAGAGAAGCTTCCCCGTCCCCGGCCCCCAGACGGCCCCCCCGGCCCCTTGCCCATCCTCACCCTCGTAGCAGTCTCGGACGGTGCCGAAGTACACGTAGTACTGGTCGTTGGTGAAGAAGAGGAGGCTGAGCCAGGAGTCAAAGGCGTAGATGGGCACGATGAAGAGGATGCGCACAATGTAGCGCTGCTCGTTGGGGCAGCTGTAGCAGCGCAGGTGCATGTAGATCTGGGGGCAGAGGCGCGGGGTCAGCTGGGGACCCTCCTGTCCGCAGGGATGGGAGGGCAGGTGGGCTTCCAGCTCTGCCACCGACTCATCTGTGACCCGATGCACGTGACCTACCCCTGAACTCAGAGCCCTGCTCTCCAAAATGCGGATGACAAGGCCACTGTGAGACTCAGACCAGTGGGCATGCACAAGGCTCGTGGCACGCATGCAGCGGTGTCTGTGGGGCAGCCTCACAGGTGCAGGGGGTGGTGAGCTCACACCCCAGACCACAGGAGGGCCAAGGACGAGGATGGAAATCCAGTTTCCACAAGCTCCTGAGGGGACCTCACCCACAGGCAGCTCTGGGCCATCAGTGTGTGCCCTTTCTCTCTGCCTCGCTCCAGCTGTGACTGTGGCAGCAATGAGCTAAGTCACCTGGGTTGCAGGCCTGCCCTGTCCCTTAACTTATGGCAAGACAGACAGGGCCCTCTGAGCGGCTACAGGGATGTCCTCAGGCTGTGCCTCACCCTCCCGTCTGGTAAACAGAGACAGCACTGCCTGCCTCAACAGGAAGTTAGGAGAATGACATGCTACTTTTAGGAAGCAGAGGGGAAAAGTAAAAGCTACACACAAATGCCAAGAACTGCTCTACCACGGTCCTCAGTCCTGGCAGTTGCTGGGTGTCTTGTCCCAGCTCTCATGAAATCACACTTGGCCCAGCCGAGCCCTGGGCTAGGGAGGAAAAGAACAAAATATTCTCTATCTTCTATGAGCCAAAAGCCTTAGACACAAATGGGTTCTAAATGGGATGGGGACATAGGGCAGCTGGCAGGGGACTGACTGGGAAACCCAGGCAGACTCACCCTGCCCCTCTCCACTGGACTACCTTCAAACCTCTGCAGGTCGCCAAGACCCATCTCAGCCAACAGCAGCCTCCTCTGGGGTCACGAGTACAGGCAGACGGGAGACTCGACTCCCATCCCAGCCTGCCACCAATTTCCAAGTGACCAACCTAGTTCCTTTCCCCCTCCCACTCTGACTCTCCATTTTCTCATCTGCAAAGGCGTCCCTGTCCCTGTACTCTTGCAGTTCTAGGCTCTCTGCAGCTTGGACCTGAGACTAGTTCCAGCCAATGGAAGGTGAATGGAGTAACAAGTGTCACCTCTGGATTGAGATGGTTAAATATCCAGAGGGCCTTCACACACTCCCTGCTGCCAGGTGTCAGAGGGCTGAGCCTTGAAGCCGGAGCCACACATCAAAACCTGCACTGTCCTGGGCCCTGGGACGTGGGCAAGAAGCCAAATTCTACCGAGGGAAGCTCTGAGAACACAGGGCTTACCTGTGTTCTTACTGCAGCACAGCCTGGCCTAGCCTAACTCATACCCTGCTGGGCTAGGAACCTCTCAGGATTCTTCTAGAAGCCCCCTGCCAGGCCTGGTACCTGGTGGCATGTGATGAGCAGGGCCGTCCACACGAAGAAGCCGGAGATGGCCTGAGCGGCAGTTGTCATCAGGAACACAGGCTGCTCCATGGCGGTGGGGCTGCCCTCAGGGATCACGGAGACGATGGGAGAGGCTGCTGCGGTCGTGGGCGACACTGGATCCGGGGCCAGCACAGCCCCCCTCACTGTCATGATGCCCGGCACCAGGAGGCCCCCTGAGGGAAACCCTTGCAGTAAGTGACAAGCTAGCCTGGAGAGAAGAAATTGCAATGTGAGTCTCCTCCCAGGGTAAGTGGCAGCGTTGAAAAGAACCTTCCAGGTCTCTCTACCTACCTCTTGACCACATCTCAACTGACCCCAACCATCACCCTGCCGCAGCCAGCCTCCCTCCTGGATTGATGCAACAGGCCCTTGACCAGTTTCTCTGCTTCTGCCCTTGCCTCTGATGATCAGTCCCTACTCAGCAGTCTTGTGACCTTTCCAAGGCTTAGCTAGACCTGGCCACATCCACTCAAAACTCTCCAATAGCTCCCAGCTCCCCTGGAGTAAAAATCACAGTCCTTACAACAGCCCAAAGGACTCGATGGCCCTCCTGGCCTCTATGATCTCAGCTCCTGCAGTTTCCACTTCCATCCTCACCTGCAGCCACACTGGCCTCTTTGCTGGTCCTTGAACATACTAAGCCCACTTCTGCCACAAGGCCTTTGCACTGGCTGTCTCTGCCCAGCCACACAGCTCCCTCCCACCTTTCCTTTAGGTCTCTACCTTGACCACCATGACAACATGTCAGCTTCTCCCAGGCCAAGCTTCGCTTTCTTTTCCTCCAGAGCCCTCATGACATCAACACCACCTAACTCGATTCACTCATGTATTGATTAACTGTTCCCCCAACCCCACCTAGAACACAGGCTCCCTGGGGACAGCGGCTCTATTCAGGACTGGACAGGCAGCACTGAGAACCATGGGCAGGGCACACAACAGACATTTGGGAACTTCCTGCTGGGCCTGAACATCTTTGTACCCCTGAACCAGTAAAACCACTTGGCTGCTGAGGTCTCCTCCGAGGGCTTGTGTGCATTCTTCGCCATGTCTCCCCCTTTCCCTAATGACTGACCCACTCCCCACCATCCAGCTGTGCCGTTTTGGAGACTGTGGCTCCTCCCCAGTCTGTGCACCTCATCTTTTAACCCAGCCCATGTGCCACCCCTCCTGCAAGCCACCTGCACACCTCCAGTTCTCAGAGACTTCTAGCTATTCCGTGTCCTTCTCGTCGTAAGGCACAGGTCACACTACTCATGGTTCATGCTCCTGCTTACTCTTTGAGGCAGGACCCTAGCACCCCCAACCCACTTATAATATTTATTATTGTTGTTATTTTGAGGCAGGGTCTCACGCTGTCGCCCAGGCTAGAGTGCAGTGGTGCAATCTCGGCTCACTGCAGCATCTGCCTCCCGGACTCAAGTAATCCTCCTGCCATAGCCTCCTGAGAAGCTGAGATTACAGGCGTATGCCACCACGCCTGGCTAATTTTCTAATTTTTTGTAGAGATGGGGTCTCCCTATGTTGCCCAGTCTTGAACGCCTGGCCTCAAGCAATCCTCCTGCTTCATCCTCCCAAAATGCTGGAATTATAGGCGTGGACCACCATGCCTGGCCTATCTGCTGATTTTCATGGCTTGTTTCTAAAGAATTTGAGGTGCCTCGCAGTGAAACAAAGAATAGTGGTGAAGTTGTCATGAATGAGATTAGTGCCCTCATAAAAGGAACCTCAGGTAACTGCCAAGCCCCTTCCACCACATGAGGACACACGGAGAAGGCTCTGTCTACGAACCAAAAAGTGAGCCCTCTCCACACACTGCATCTATCAGCACCTTGATCTCTGTCTTCCAGCTTCCAGAATTGTGAGTAAGGAGGCAGCTGATTTAGTCTTAAGTCACAGTGGCTCAAGACTAAGGCAGGAGCCTGGCCGTACCCTCTACCCACAGCCCTGATGGGGCATCCCTTTCAGTCCAGCCACCTGCTGACAGGCTGGTCAATGACATCCAGCAAACACCCCCGCCCAAATCACCAACTCTGTCGATAACCTGTGATGCAACAATTTCAAAAGATGCAAAATGCGGCATGTGGGCACTGTGGAAAGAGCCTGGCCGGAGCATGGGCACCAGCTCCCCCACAACCAGCTGTGTGGGTTCCCTGGTCCAAAACTCAACTCAGAAAATGGGCAAACTCCAATTCCCAACCATCTTGGTCTGAACCCAGAGGTCAACCTAGATGGTCTCACGGTCCCTTTCAAGCCTGCAAGCTGGTACTTAAATCAGAATACCTGACACTGACGGAGGTTTCACTGGGCCTTCCCGGGTGCAGTGGCCTGTAGCCCGGCCCTGTTATGCAGAGGATTCTGCGCCCGCTGTCTGCCTGCACTGCCCACCTGTGCCCCGGCTCCTCACCAGTGGCCGGCCGCAGCATCTCCGCCACCATTTCAGCTCTTAGCTGTAAGTGTGCACCCTAGGAGAGCCCTTTACATTTCTATTTTCCCACACATACATGATCTCTTAACACACCAACTGAGACACAAATCCAGATTAAAACTCAAAAACAGAGAAGGCGTCTATATAAAGAAATTCAAAAATGGAGGTGTCTATATAAAGACCAGTGGCAAGCTTCGAAAAAGAGACACAGTGACAAGTCCAAGAATAGCTCCTGTAAGGATGGTTGCAAAACTGAAAACCAGTGCCAGAAATATTTCTTGAAAAGGACTTGGGTTGTAAATCATCATCTTTGTCTACCATTGTTGTAACCGAGAGAGTTAGAAGGAATGTGCCACCCAATGAGTTCCAAATTAAGAGTCCTTTTTTAACTAGCCAGCGACCAAGAGATGGCTAGCACTCAAAATTCTCTCGGCCCCAAGGAAGGGGCTTGATTATCTTTTATACCTTGATTTAGGTAGGGGAGGGGGAGCCTAGCTGAAGCGGAATTTTACAGAAGCAGAAAAGCAGGTTAGAGGAAGGGGCTGCAAGCACAGGTGTCACCAAGAAGGGGGTGTTCCGGCTCCTTCTACACAATGATCAAAGGGAAATCTTTTTCTTAGAAAAGCTGGTGGGGAGGTGGTGGTATGCCAAGCACGATGCAGTTACAATGGTTACAAGTGTTAGGAACGGTGCACTTCAACACTTCTAAGTGCAGCGTGACCCAGTTGTGCACTCAGAGGGGCTGTGGCAGGGAGAAGAAGCCAGGTTGAAGTTTACAGCTAAGATGGAGTCAGTGATGCTAGCCCAGGGTAGGTTATTACACCATCCCAAATTACATGATGGGGAATTGTGGTGGGACCAGAGGAAGTACAAATACTCCTAAATCTTCACCTTCCCAGGCAGGCATGGTGGCTCACATCTGTAATCCCAGCACTCTGGGAAGCCAAGGTGGGCGGACCACCTGAGGTCGGGAGTTTGAGACAGCCTGGCCAACACGGAGAAACCCCATCTCTACTAAAAATACAAAATTAGCCAGGCATGGTGGTGCACACCTGTAATCCCAGCTACTTGGGAGGCTGAGGCAGGAGAATCACTTGAACCCAGGAGGCAGAGGTGGTAAGCAGAGATCACGCCATTATACTCCAGCCTGGGAAACAAGAGTGAAACTCCATCTCAAAAAACAAACAAACAAACAAACTTCACATTCCAAGCAAGGTGCAGGGGGATGTCAAAGGCTGTTCTGTTCATGACTAAACGCAATGTTGAGAAGCCCCCCACTTGAACTCCTTTGCAGGGGGCACCCCCCAAGAACAGACCCAAGCCAGGGCTGGGATCGGGATGAAGGCTGAAGGGCAGCTTCTTCCTGCAGCTTTGCTCACTCACGTGCACATGCCCGCTAGGCATTCGGGGCCCCTTCACACTCCTCATGTAGGTCGTTTATTTCACAAGAGGAAACGCACCCAGAGATGTGAGTGACTTACCCCTAAATCAGAGCCAGGACTCAAAGACACGTCCTATAAACACATTGTCTCCCTATCTCCTACAAAGTGGGGGGACCTAGCTGAGTCACCCTTCCTGCTCCAGAGCCTCCCAACAAGACATAGCCATGCCCATCCTCCCACAGCCTCCAGACTCCCATAGCAGGAGGGGAGGCAGGTTCCCCATGGCGGAGGAGAAGCCACCATGGCTGGGAGTGTTTCTGCAGCCCGACCCAAGCTGGCCACATTTCTGCACAGGGGCCCATTCATAAACAACTTATTTTCCTCCTGGGCAGCCATGGTGGTTTACAAAGCATTTCTCCAAACATTATCTCATATATTTTCTCAAGGCAACTTTGAAGTAAGTAACATTATTTCCACCTTCGAGATGAGGAAAATGATGCAGAACTCAGTTTTACAGCCACCCAGGGTGACAACGATTCAGGGGATTTCATAATTCCCCAAAATCCTTAAAGCAATATTCTAGCTCATAGGCGCATGGAAGGCCCAGAGCTCACCTTGCTCTCTGGACCCAAGGCAGCACACGGAGGCTGTCAAACATACCCCCAAGCCAGCTGCCACAAGGCCAGACTCTGCTAACTGTTCACACTGTGTGATGGGTCTGGGGACAGGGTAGGGACTGGGATTTGACCCTTTCACACTATACAGGCATCTACCGGGAAGCTGCCTGCCCAGGCCCCACGAGCAAGCTGGACGTTCACCTGGCACAGCCTGTGGACCCCGGAGGAGTGGCAATGCCATTTGATGTAGCTTCTTTACTCCTGTGGGGTAAGGAGTGGGAAAGGGCCCCACCCATGTCTCCCCTCTTCCAATGCAGTCCATGCAAACGAATGAGGCTCAGAACTCCAGCTGCTCTGGCAGTACCCCATTACCTTTTTTTTTTTGAGACAGAGTTTTGCCGTTGCTCAGGCTGGAGTGCAATGGCATGATCACAGCTCACTGCGGCCTTGACCTCCCCGGTCCCAAGTCATCCTCCCACCTCAGCCTCCCAAGTAGCTGGGACCACACACATGTGCCACCACTGCCCAGCAAAAATTTTTTTTTTTTGAGACAGGATTTCACTCTGTTGCCCAGACTGGAGTGCACTGGTGTGATCTCAGCTCACTGCAACCTCTGCCTCCTGGAATCAAACCATCCTCCCACCTCAGCCTCCCAAGTAGCTGGGACTACAGGCGTGAGCCACCATGCCTGGCTGATTTTTATATTTTTTTTGTAGGAATGGGGTTTCGCCATGTTACTCAATCTGGTCTTGAGCTACTGGGCTCAAATGATCCTCCTGTCTCA